AGCTGGCTGACATCCTGAACACACACACATGGAGTATGACACAGTAATTAGGGGTAGGAAAAACCTGCACCCCCTGGTATGGAGAGAGACTGTGGACAAGGAGGTCTCACACACACAGGAAACATTATCCTGTGGGGACTGCAGCTTGCCAGAGAGGCCACATGGAATTATAGCACACATCTAAACACTGAAATTTAAGAATTTAATTAGACAAATCAAGGGAAACATTTTAATGAGCCAGTATTATTGCCTTTTGTAGGGTTGGACTTGGTTGATATTTCAAGGACAAAGCCACATAAGAAAGCTGTAATTAAATGTTTGACACATCTAGACTTCAAGCTTAACCAAACAAGACATGATGAAGATGTCAAATTGAGACTCAAGATTGTTCCAAGCTTTTAACATCAATCCAAAATCCTCGCTGTAATTTAAGAAACTATGATTTTAGGAAATTACAACAAATGAAATATTTCCATAAGGGCAAGTGAGGACTCCTTCTGAAGTCTCATGTGAACTAGACATGCTGTGTGAGTCCTAAGGGATCAGCCTCTCATTTCCACACAACACTACTGTTACAAATGTCTTAAGCTTGCTTTTGTCCTTTAGAGGATCTGCTGTAGCTAACTTTGACATTATCAAAAACTGTTACTAGAGGAGAACATTTAAATAGACAATTTAAAGTAGCAACTACATGTGGCCGCCTGGCCCTGGCTTGGAAGGTACTGACTGCACACAGGCCAAAGGTCCTGTTAATTATGGTGCAGTCACAATGATCACACAACCCCAGGTGCTACCCACACTGCACACAAGAGCCTAATGAAGCAATGCTGGGGAAGCTGGTCCCATGCCTGGCCAAGACCTCCTCAGCTGGGTCCGGCAGGTCCACACTGTACTGTCAACCAGCCGGCAGCAGGAGCTCGAGGCACCTGTCAGAGCCTCCCCAGAGCAGAGGATGCAACCTGCAACACCTGAGAGGCCGACACCTGTGAGGCCAACACCTGTGAGGCAGACACCTGTGAAGCCCTGGCTTCGGAAGCTCTCCTCCCACAGTACAGGAGTTGCACTGTCAGGCAGGACATCTCCCATGGGCCTCTAACTCGTTCCCTACCCTCGGCAGCCACCACCTAAGATACAGGCAATAGTTCTGAAACATGTTTTGGGTCTTTTAGAACCTTTGTTTGGTTCTTGAAGGAAGCACAGACACCTGTTCTTGGACAAGGCTGGGCCATGTCTGAAGAGGACTCCTGGGTGAAGGCAAGTGCCACCTGTTCACAGCCCACAACTACTAAGCAACTCCTCTGCAAAGTGCAGAACAGGACCTGCTTCCAGAGCTGTCTCGAACAGGTAACATATTCACATGAATGCACATACGCACTCTGTCAGAGTGCTGCTGACAATACCTGGTGCAAGGCAGTGCCAGTATTAGGCATTGCAGCTGTTTAAAGCAATGAGCCCCTCTTGCAGGCTATATACATAAGATTAGGGTCATTTCAGAATCACATCTCAAGACATTACTTATCTGTAAGAAGTGTTGGCTGCATTTAAACGAGAGAGGAGGAGGAGGAGGTTCCCTGGAGTGTACAAGACCTAAAGACAGGTGAGCTGGGGCCAGCACACTCTCAGGCCCACTGCACAAATGGCAGTAGGAAAGAGATGTTGGCAGATCCTTGTGTGGCATCTCAGAATATGAACAAGAGACTAGAGATGAGAGGGAGTGGAAGGGAAGTAGAGGATGAAGATGATATATGTATATGCACCAATTCCCCCATGATGAATGGTTTTATGTATCACAAATATATACATATAAAAAAGGAAAAAAAGAAACCAGACAGCAGACAGCAGAAAGGGTGAGACAGAATCATACCAGTCTGCACAGCCATCCAGTTACTCAGCTCATGATCACGTGACCTCAGACAGCATCTTCAGCCTTCTGAGCTGTGTTCCTCACCTATAAGGCAGAGGGGTGTGGCTCCTCTTCACAGGGTGGTCCTGAGGCTGACCACACGTGAGGAAAGAGCATGCATGTCCCCGCCCCATGCTCCTGTCCACCAGCCCCATTCCAAAGTCCACAGTGGGGACTAACCCAAAGGACAGAATATGTCACTCTTCAGACTGCACCAGCACCAGGCTAGGAGACCAAGGACCAGGGGCTCCCAGGGGATGCCACTGGGAGGCAGCCAGGCTGGCACCAGCAGCACTCCTGGAGGGCTTCAACACACAACGGAAGAGCAGCTGCAGAATCAGTACGAACAGCTGTGGTGACAACACTGCCCCCGACTAAAGTGGCATTCCTGAGAGCACGAGTGACAGCATTCACAGAACCTCCTGACAAGGACAAAGCTCTTCCCCTCTGGCAGCTCCCTGCATCCGGATACCAGCCTGGCTGTGTCTTAATCCTCAGCAGCCACTCAGACACAGCACGGCCGCTGCCCTGCTTGTCACTGTCTACCTCCTGGGTACAACATCAAAGATGTACCCGAGAATAACTGAATTTCCAGTCTGATTATATTTAACCTTCAAAACACAGCGTTCCTAATTGAATTACCCTGAATTGGCAGTTAAATAGTTTCATTCCTTACCTGAGTGACCACCTGTAAAGACATGTGGATCAACCATTTAGCTCTAAAATTTTACAATCATTATCTGAGTGCTCTCACAATTTCTTCTGATTTTAATTACATTTCCTGTAGTGCAACAAGTAATTTACATAAACACTTTTGTTGCAATGAATTTACCTAAGCAATATTCAAAGGCCAAAAAAAATAAAAACCAAAAATGGTCATCATATCAGTTCCTCTTTCAAAGCAGATTCCAGTTGTTTTTCAAACAAATTTAGCATCCACCAAGTTGGTCAGGAAATAATTTAGGGGTCTGATCTAGTATTTAAAAACTAACAATAAAACAACAGAAAATGCCAGCATGCATCACACATAGTAAAAATGTGTACTGTTTTATTCAGTCTTTGTTGGTCTGTGTGTTTGAACTGAGTTACTAAGCGTATGCGTTACTGTGGACAAAACATGTGGGGCTGCCAGTATCCACAGCAGCCTGTGCGCCCTGCAGCACGTTAACAAGGTGCTGGTAACAGCATTCAGTCTCCACAGAGCTCTAGGACAGGCTCCTCAACCAAGCAGGAGCTACTCAGTCCTTCTATGGAAGAAATTAGAAAAATAAAACATCTAAATGGTTTGAATAATTAAATATGTAAAGTAAAATGCATGCTTCCAAATATGGAGGCTATATTTTGGGTTGCAAAGAAATTTATCAACTAGTAATCTCATGACAAAAAGTAAAAAATACCCACTTCTCCCTCTATTCAACATTCACCAAAATTACTGCCCTTTATAAAACTGAAATGGGCCAGGTGTGGTGGCACATGCCTGTAATTCTAGCACTTGGAAGGCTGAGGCAGAAGGGCTGCTGTGAGTTTAAATCCAACCTGAACTACACAGTGAGACCCTATCTCAAAAACCAAAACAAAACTGAAAGGAAATAGCCTATAATACCCTTAAGTTTTAGCCATAATGATTTTTTGGTTTTGGTTTTTTTGGTACTGGGGATTGAACTCATGACCTTGAGCTTGTGAGGCAGGCAGTGGCACCACTGTCCTAAATCCCTAACTTGTAATGATTTTTTTTTCAGTGCTGGGAACTGAACCCAGCACACGTGCAGCCACATTTGCAGGCTATGGGGATGTGATGATATTCATAAAAACATATATATTTATAAGCCATATATTAAATTACTTTTTGCAAAATTTTAATTGCTACGATATTTTAAAAGTAGCACTAGAAGTATCTCATACAAATAAACAGGACTAACAATGGTAAACAAAACAACTCATAAAAATAATTTACCAGTGTGTTCAAACATCGTTTTTTAAAATAACATTATACCAGTTTTTTAAGGTCTAAATAGTAGGACTGCATTTACATTCACCTTTCTAAAAATCTTAATAGTTCTGCCTGTTTACATTCAACATTGTGCTAACCACAAGCAAGCACACAAGAGGCTGTGAACGATGGGGACCCGTGCCTCTGGCAGGTGGCTTTGTGGTCCTTTGCGCAGCGATGGCCCACAGCGGGCAAGGTGAGGCAGTTGTGAGCAGGTACACACCTGCCTCTGAGGTGTGTGGGGACAGTGCAAGGCTGCATCCTCCCCCACAGAGCAGCCCCGCAGCACAGCAGTGTGAGGGGCTAACAGTGCCTGGATGCACACACTCACATAAACTCTAAGGGGAGCAGATCTGTTTTTACACAGAAGCTACATAAAGCCACATAAATACTGAGCCTCAGAAATATCCTGGAAAATCAGTAAAAATCAATACAAATGTTATAATCTATAAAATTTGTAACTGTAAAATAATTTATTTAAATATCGCAGAACCAATTCATGTTTTAAAAAATCCACTGAATCTCCCCAATGAACTGTGTCACTATAGTTCCTGGTGCCCCTTTACAATGGACACTCATGATGAGAGAGAACAGAGCGCTATGTAGTCACTGGTGGACCTCACACATCAAGAAGCAAAACAGCAGTTCCGTAATGTGACTGTATTTGGAGCTCTGTCTCCCACCTTCTACCTGCCTTCTCCTTCTCTGGTGCACAACAACTGCAGCAGAGCCAAGGCCCCAGGAGTGACTGTCCTCACCAGAACTCAGTCTGCTGTCAGCCACTTCTGTAGTTTTTGTACAAACAGCCCAGCATATGGACAGTACAGCACCTGCATTTGGAGACACTCTCCCAAAGGAAGAGTCCAGCGTGTCATATATGACCAGGAATGGGTTCTCAGAGCTGTGACAATACAACAGACTGCATGTCTAACAATCAAGGGCACTTTAGACCCAAGGAGAAACCATCCTTCCACCCAATGCTCATCATTATTTCAAAAGCAGTAATGGTGTGCACAAGTGTAATGTTTATAACTCACTTTACAAGCTGACTGATGCAAGCCTGGCCTAAGTTCTTAGGAGGAAAGAAACTTTGAAATGAACAAACTGTTGAGACATAGACAAATGAAAAGTTTAATATTTTACTAGAAAACTTTCAGACATCTTACAAATGCCCAGGAACTCTTTCACTGGATGTGCCCTGACACTGATGTAGAAGTGATATTAGTGTACTCCTGAGTGTCTTTCTGTTCTCCCCTGGACTTGGTCTGCTCAAAGTGTGGACTCCAAGATTCAGTAAAAAATCAAAGCTTGCAATGAATACTAATGTAGACAGAATTAACAGTGAAATTACAAAGCAGGTGACTTTTTATTCAGTTTCTAGCATATAGATCTTATACTGAGAAATCCACCAATACTAGACGGGTGGCATGTGCTGAGTGTCGCTTGGAACCAAAAAGTAAACACTCTTATTTTAAAGCTAAGCTGCAGTTTCAAAAGATGAGACACTTAGAAGGAAATGCAGACGTATAAATGAGAAGTATACTCAATGGAATTTATAAATATATACAGTACAGATTAGATTTTCTTATTGTTTGGTTCTATGTGAAAATTTTTTATGTCAACAGATACAGCCTATTTTTTATAAATTCCTCCCCCAAAAAACCCTTTAAATTCAACAATTTGAGAAAAATGTTGTTTTACCTTTGTCTGAACACAGACAACCTATTGCCATACACATGGTGCATGTGAACATACCTATTTGTACAGATCACGGAACTATGAACTGTGTGCAAAGGGGCCGACCTAGTATTTTTGCATGCACAGTGCTCAGGATCCTATCCTAGTGGGTGACAATGCAGAGCATATGCTAATGGTTTTTTATCAGTGGACTTAAGAGTCAAGAAACCATCCCAATGATTATTTACAATGTAATAGCTGAATGATTATCAGATTATGTTACAGTGTAAACCTATTCTCACATCAAGAATGCCGACTCTGTAAACTCTGGGTGTTGAGCTGGTAACTTTTATAAGTCGGAGGCGTAAATTGGTGTATACAAAAGTAACCAAAGCCTGAAGAATGTGAGGAAAGAAGGCGTTTCTACCATTCAGCACTGAAATTTCTCATAAACATCACAGAAGCACAGAGGATTAAGTGATTTTTTAAAAGAATCCTTTAAAAAAGTGAGTATACACATAGCCTATAAGGCAAAGTCTAAGTTACAAGTGTACCCAACACCGGTAACTGTGCTATAAGAGGTAATACTGAGTCATACAGTCAGCTGTCCCTCAGCGTGATGATGCAGTGCTCATCAGAGCTTCCTGGAGCAAACACAAAATGCTCCTGCGGCTTGTCACCACAGCTCAGGGTTGAAAAGGACTTAGTATTTCTCGTTGGCTCAAAGTCTAGTGAAAATTCTGTAATCTAAACTGGAAACTATGTTTTTCTTAAGGAAATAAAAAATAAATTTGCAATTATTGTAGTTCCAGTGCAGCTACTGAAGTGACAGCCTCTACAAGCAGTCTCTGAAGGGCCTGGAAACCTCCCTTTGCGCCAGGGAGCCTTTCAGGTAGGTAGGTGTCTCCATGCTAAGTAAGACACATAATGGGAATGAATGGATTTCAGAAAGTCTCACAGTTTGCCATTTCTAACATGGCTTTCATATCAGGATGATGTATTTACTGATGCAAGCCATAGATGCGTGTGCTTTCCCATATGTCTCCAGGAATCTATGCTGAACTGGCAACTACAAGGTTTACCAGAAAGCTGAATTTAAAAAACAAGATCACCAATAGCCAAGTTCTTAGATTATAATGAAAAGATACTTCTAGGCCCAGGCCCTAAACATGCACCAAGGTCAGTGTGAAAATGTTCCACAAATCTGGCAGGCGGGAATGTCATGAGTTTGGACCTCTCCGGACTCTTGTTTGCAGAATGCTTGCCCACTGTGGGTCTCACAGTGCTTTCTGATGCCCATTTGCAGATGGTTTGGTTGCTTCTGAATCCCTTGAAGTATTGGATAAGTGAAGTTTATGAAGCCCTGCAGGAAAATTAAGGAAATGGTGAGAAGTGAAGTGCTGCTAAGTGGCCAGGGAAGGGGCTGAGTGATAAGGAGAACAGACTGGCAAGCAGAATGTGCAGTTGGGAGGTACTGGCCAAATGCAATCTAGGAATTAAAGATTCCTTCTCCCCACTGGCAGCTCCTATGCAGATGCCCTGAGTGGAGGGAGCAGCTGGGCAGGAAGTCATTGTGCCCCTCCAAGGACAGCCTGCCTCCAGGGGCCAGCAGACATGTCAGTGCTGGGCCTTCTCCCAACTCAGCAAAACTCTGAGGTTTGCCACCGTAACCATCCATAGGGCCAGCGGAGGCTTCAAGGCACAAGCCCTCTTCTTGCTTAGTCCCTCCTATTTTCTCTCTCCCTCCCCTCCTGGCAAATGCATTCCCATCCCAAAGTACACATCCCAGGGACCCAAGCCTGAGACAGATATGATCCCATTTTTGTATAAAAGACACTCATACATATGTACATCCAGGCAAATGTAAGCAAAGATACCAAAATATCAAGCATGTAATTTTTTTTTAAAAAGCAATGGTAAAATTACCAAAAAAGAGAAATGGCAAAAGAACAAACTGAATATAAAAATAGTTCATAACTTAGTCACCTAAGAATAAAGAAACATCACTACCTTTTTCTATTACATGAACTTCTCTCTATCATACGCCACTTATTTCCATGGTACACCTACTACATGAAACAGTGTGCCCTCACAGGAAGGGAAGACAGAAGAACACTGGAGAGTTTAGGTGGCACTAAAGCTTCATGCACTTTAACAAAAAAGAATTCACAGTGACATACAAATACATAAGTAGCACATCTTATGTATTAGGGCAGATTTTGAAGAAATAATTTCCATGAGGCTCAGACCTTTTTGAAACCTCAAAAACTAAGTTGGAAAAGATTGTTTCCCTCCAGGTGGTAATTTTTCTGTCAGACAGTTTCATATCACTCTTTAACATAGCACTCCAAAATTTAAACATTCTGTCACCTGCATGTCTTAATGACAGAAAAAGTAAAACTGAATCTTTCTATGGCATTTGGGAAGGGAAAAAAAACCCCAAAACAGTTCTGGTCCAAGGAATGGCCAAATCACTGAATGACCAGAGGAGTGGCCAGCTGTCAGAGGGTAGGAAACAGCACTAACACATTCCCACCATGCATGAGAGACTGTCCTATTGGGCAGCTTATACAACTGGTGGTACAAGTGATGCAATCATGCGTGGGACAGTCATACATGTACCACCAGTGGCTCAAGCTGCCTAGCAGTGAATCATAGGAATTACAGTCCCATCGTGAACATGTTAAAACCAGGGTTGTCAGAAAAGGCACTGAACAGACAGAGTGTCAGGGAGATAGTCAGTGGCTGCCCTGAAATGGAATTATGTTTTTAAGACAGAAGACAGACTGGGTTCACTTCTCAAATTTGAGTGCGGCCTAAGCAATGCATTCTGAAAAACCACAATGTCCCTCTTCTGCAGAAAGCTCCAGAGACAACTACCCATCACTACCATCACCATGGCTGATACGTTCCAGGGACTCTGTGACATGGACACTGTTATAATCAATGGACACAGCAGCAGTGGCTGGGTGGGGGGACTAAAGAAGGAAAGAAGGGGAGAGAGAAGAAAGAAGAGATGAGATGAGACAAGAAAGGAAGGAAGAGAAAAGAGACAAAAAGAATACAGTAAAAGATAAAACGAAAGACTATAGCAAATTTCATAATCAAATTATGACTCTCAGTGAAGTCATGCTGAAGATCTCCAATCATTCAAACACTGCATATACTTATAGAGGAAATTTTGCAGTGCATAAATTACCCCAAAAGAGCACCCAAGAGGATAGTGAAAAATATTCAGAAAGAAAAGTAACTCTATCAGATAGTTTTATACACTCCTGGTCATCGCATTGCTTCTATGGTCAAAGAGCTGACCCAGCATACAGGAGCTCTGCCTGTACGAGGTTCCATTTACCCCTTTAATGATGGCTCCCCAGCGCCATGACCCCAGGCTCCCAGATTCAAGCACTGGCTGTGCCAAGCTCACTGCAGCCATCACAGGGAATGGAGTGGAGCCAATCTGACATCATGGATGCCTCATTTTGCTGACATTACAACCGGCTTGAAAATTAAGGCTTATTCTAGACATCCAAGAAGAGTCCTATATCATCCTGCAGCTTTTAACATGGCCAGTGTTATAAAATCTAGGCATTAAAATGTATGAAATTTTCTGGGGCCCTGGTCGAAAGGAGATGTAACTTTTCCTTTCCAGGACAATACTCCAATCAGCCATGCCTCTCACAAGGTGCGGTCAAAGTAAAATGCATGCGGCCTAAGCTGACAATGCGAATTTTTTTTCTTCCCAATCATCCCACTTTCACCCACCAAGGCTGAGGAGGGTTGGGCGCTTGAGAAGCTTGATTATTGCTTGTATGGTTTACGTTATCTGAATATTGAACCCTAATGAACCAATCAGTAAGTTGTCTTTTGAAACAGCTCAAACCACAAGGAATACATAAGCATTTAAATTGTGTCACTCATGTAAATGAAGCTAATGTCAGGGCTTTCAATAATAAATCACTGATGTTCCCTTCTTTTATGGTAAATTACATACCGCAAACCAAGACAGCTTGTATTGTCCTGGTAGCCCTAAGGTATAAAACTTGAAATGTTTAGCATTCATGTGGAAGTAAGCAAGAAAAATGCATTCACAGCTTACAACAGTTTTAATACAATCAATGACAGGACTCTATATGAGTGGTAGTCAAAAATTTGACTTCTCGGGTTGTACACATTTAGAAACTGAATGAAGACTTAGTGTTAACTGAAAATTTAATGCAGTCATTGATTAGCAGAAAGACAGCGAAATACCCATAACCCTCAGGATTACCTAGGGCCTTGAAAAGTTCTTCTCGTACAGCAGAGGTGAATTTTCTGACCAGACACAATGTTGTCACAATGGCAAAGAGTAAATTGTAGGACAGGACAATATAGAAATTGCCCAGCCAGTTAAACCTTCCGAAGTCTCCAAGTAGGTCAAATCTAGTGATTCCTGTTAAACATAAATAAAAGAGCCCTTAGTGAAAATCAGTTTGTTACACAACAATATACTCATCAGATCAAATCCTGCAGCCTTCCTCAGTTCTGCTTCTGTGATGCTCTAATGAATGATCCCAGTTTACAATGTGTCACTGTTATGGCATGACCACCTCCAGCCAGCCCTGACCTATGTCACATATGTGCCAGCTAGGTTCAAGTGACCACAGGAGGCTGGCACAAGTACCCCTGTCATACGGGCTCAGAATTCAGGCCGCTTGCGGCACTTGGGGAGGACGGGTGACTGTGCCAACTGGAGCAGGGTGGCTGTGTCTGGTCACAGGAAATCAGAGTCCTGATGAGGGGGCCACCTGAGCCCATGCTCCTGCTACCCCTTTGCTGCCCATGAGTCACCCTAGAAAGAAGGACTGAGTCCCCTTCTGCAGACAGCTGCACCTTCCAGATCGCTTGTGGAAAGTTAGGTTTCTGACAGCACACATGACCTGATTCCTTTTGGCTTACTTATTGCCTGCTTCCCCAACCCCCCGTAAGTTCTGTGAGAACAATGACTTTGTTCCATTCTTATAATCCCAACACCCCAGAGCAAAATCTTATTCTCCACATTTATTATATAAATGAATAAATAAATATAATCATTTCTTTCCATACAAAACACTTAATCTGAATTTAATGCTACAGACTTGTAAAGTAAAAGGGCAAGCTGGAATTACACTGGAATTACACCATATATACATTTCAATTAAACTCAACATACACATTTTTAAAAATCTTTTTTATTTAGGGCCGGGGATTTAGCTCAGTGGTTTCGCAACCTGCTGCACAGGTGCAAGGACCCGAGTTCAATCCCCAGTACCAAAAAAAAAAAAAAATCTTTTTTATTTAAAAGCAGTTTAAATAGTTGTTCTATTTAGTGATCCTGTGTCCCCAGTTCAATACTCATTGGAAAGAATAGGTAAGAAAGAAGATCTTCCTAACCACTGATAGGTAAATAAATCCCAACATTCAGGAGGTCAGGTGAGTGAGGGACAAGAGAGTCGCAAGAGACTTTGAGGAATAGACTACAAAGCTGCATGGGGCCATACAAAATTCAACTCCAGAGAGCTACAAGGAACCGCTGGTAAGACACTATAAACACCATCGCAGACCTCAGCTGATGTCCCCAACACCTCTGATGCAATCTCATGGCTTCAGCTGGCTTGAACTGGACACTCAACTCTGCCCCAGGGACCCCCACTGCCCACCTAAAGTGCCCCAGGACTGTTACAGACAGTGGGAGCCTCCCCGTGCAGACTGTGAGGAGAACATGCTGCAGTCCCTCTGACCAGGGATTGACGCAGACGAACTTGAAGACGGTCCCAAAATATTTCTAACAGACAAATAGTTGGTGAAATGTAGAATAAAATGCCTTTTAAGAAAGGTTAAAACCCAGACACCAGCAGACTACACAGCACTTGCAACATCATTCTAAGATGATGGCAACAATCCTGGCTGAAGTTTCTCAGCAGTAAGCCCAGCAAACCTTCTTTGCTAAAAGTAACAGATACCTACTTGTATATTTTATTTTTCAAATAAAATTGCATTTAATTGAACCTAGCAAGTTATCTGTACACAAGTAACAATCTTACTGAAACAAGCGTCTGAGCCCAGAGACCCCAGTCAGACATTTCACTGATCCTCAGAGCCAAGGACCCTTGGACCATCTGGTGAGAGCTGTGCGCTGTCGGCTAAAGCACAGGTCCACACATGCACACAGAACTCCACCTCCCCCAGGCTCATCTGTGGGGGGCCTAAAGGATCCAAGACAGAAACTCTTGCAGCTCCATGAAGTCCTGCCTGCTCTCAAAGGCTTCCACACAGCACCCACTGTATTTAATATTCACAAACTACCAGTATATATGTACTACTCACTAACATAAGTACAGACGAAGCACTTTAGCAGTTGTAACAGTAAAATGCATACAAGGTCTAATATTTTCTCCATACAGTTCAAGGATCAAATTTAGGGACCCATGTGGTGTACAAAGTCTACACTAAAAACCGTAAGTGTGTGCTGTGGTTACTCAAGCACTCTGGCCATGGCCCGTGCCTCTGCGGTGACAGCCTGCATGCCATGAGAGAGGAGCAGTCACCGAGTAAGCACAGGGGATGGGTGGAACAGTGGGACAAGGGTGGATGGGACCTTCACAGTTGGCAACCAGAGTGCACATCCAGTCCCAGTGAAAATGTTCTTCCAGGCCAGGCCAGGCTCCCGTTAGATCCTTAGGCTCTGGGGAGGTCTCAGGCAGACATCCATGGACTCTCAGCAGTGCACAGAGGAACCAAACCAACACTAGCTCATGGGGACTGCTTCTGAGGACACTGCCATTTCAATGTTAAACAAAATTTATAGACACTAGCTGACTAACAGATCATTTTGGAAAAGACACACAGCTCTTTAATTCTGAAAATCTACAAAGACTAGACAGTAACAAAATAATTTCTCTAAAATCCTGGTCAAGAGGTTTTTGTCACAGTGATAAATTATAAAACACACTTTTCAAATTGAAAGTACTAACACATAACAAAAAGTAACAATATTCAGACAAAGCCTTAATTTAAAAGCACCTATTATATACGTGTCATACTTCAAATCTCTATTTCTGAAGAAGGTAAAGGGGTATTAAAATAGCAAATTTTTTGGTACCAGGGATTTAGCTCAGTGGTGCCACCACCTGCCTCGCAAGTGCAAGATCCTGAGTTCAATCCCCAGTACCAAAAAATATATATATAACAAATTTTAAAATGTTAGTAAGAAAGATTCAATTATCAGATATCTAAATGTTTATATCCACTCAGAAGTTAACTTGAAGAGTTAAAGTACACCAGCTGAAGTTCACTAGGGAGGCTTCAGCAAGGCAGAGGTCACATGACCATGATCATCTATTGGAATAAAGCATCCTTCATGACAAGCTGCACACCAGCTCCCCCAGGAGGGTTCAATAGAAAATGTTTCATGTGTAACTCTTTGCATAACAATCTCCTTCTATTCATACCTTTTAAAGAATGAAAGGGCAGAATAAAACCTCAGGTTTAGAAAGAGCTGGTCAGTCCACCTGCAGGGTGAGTCAACAGAATCCACGTGCTCAGCCCACCTGAGTCAACTCCTGCATTCAGCAAGCACATTCATGTCCCTACCCACACCAGCAGTCACAGGAGAGCACTCAGAGGGCTGGGCATGGGGATCACTACCGTAACTGCACAGGAAGCTCCATGCGCTGCCCTGTGACACATGGCTGACCCAGTACTCGTAATTTTAATGTCAGGCTGCTAAAAAGACACAGACGTCTTGTCATAAAAGCAAGTTGAAATTACACTGCTTTATTAAACCATTAGGGTTATTTTTTGTCCCTGGACTCAAAGGTTAGTTTAAATTATAAATGTAATTAAGTTTTTAAACTCCCTTCTCTAAATCAGACTTTTGAATCAAAATTTCCAAAAGGCAGGGTCAAAAAATAAAAGCAATCATTTTAAACATCATTACTTTTAGGATTAATGTAAATAGGCTTACTGTCAATCGTTTTATTTATCCAAAGACAAAGTCATTCTAAAACTGTAAGAGAGGTCTCTCACTTTGGGAATGGAATAGAAGATGACACTGTTAAAGACTTCAACTTCTGGTGAGTCTTACTGTGAAAGTACATTTTTGTTAAATTCTATCAATTAGAAATATGATATTGGCTTCTAGTGTTAGCCAAGATGGAGCAAAGGAGACTAGATCTTTCCTTCTACATGAATAAACTAAGAAACTTGATTTTCAAGACCCTGGAAATCAGATCATGAAGAGTAGTGACCACTGAGACACAGAAATAACCCAGAGGGCCCCATGAATGGCACCATTTGCCACAGCAAGAGGCCCCCAGAGAACAGCTCAGAGTGTGGGAACAGCTCAGCAGCCAGACAGCTGCGCAGGGCCAGGGCCCCCGGGAGCTAACAGTGTGTGCTGAGGCACAACCAGCCCAGGGACAGGATGAGGAGTGAAGTCGACCCAACAGTAATCATATTTGTTATATTGCTAAGGCTAGAAGACAGAATGAACTAAGTAGAGACATGGAAGATATAAAATTGTCTGAAATTGATTTCTACAAAGGAAAATTACAATGTACACTTGTAGATGAGATTAATAGCAGACAGGAGAGGTTAGAAAACTCCAAGACACGGCTACAAAAAAAACACAAGAGGAAGCACAGAGAACAAAACAATTCAAAAGAAAGCATCAATGACCTGTGAGTTACTTTCAGATGGCTGATGTGCTTGTGGTTAGAGTCCCCAAAGGAGAGAGAAGATAAATTATTGGAAGAAATAATGGCTGAACACCTAAAATGCACAAAAACTAAACACCTACTGAGCAAAGAAGCAAATGAACTCAAAAAGAATAAGAAATCAGAGGAAAACCATACCAAAGCATTAAGATACTTTTTTTTAAAGAAAAAAAATTTAAAGCTGCCAAAAGGAAAAGAAATCACATAAAAAAGAACAAAAATGATGGTCACAGAAGGTTTCTTGTCAAAAACAATGCAAAGGACAACTGAGCAGCAGTTTTAAAGTACTGAAAGAGAAAATGTAATCTAAAATTTCACATCTAGCAAAAACATCTTTCAAAAACAAGGTAACATAAACAGATTTCACACATATAAACAGCAGAAATTCATTATGAGCAGACCTGCATCAAAGAGTGTTAAAGACAGTCCTTGAGGCAGAAGGAAAATGATGTCAGAAGGAACCTGGATGGACACAAAAGAATGGGAAGCAGCAGAAATGATCAGTACATGGGTAAATATGAAAGCCTTCTTAAATTTTTAAACTTCTTAAAAAGACCACTGTTGTGTACTAGGGATATAAAATGCTTGTGTAGCATGACTAGGCCCTGGGCTTAACCCCCAGCACTACCAAAGAAACAAAACGAAACCATCACAATAAAACTAGAAGCAAAGTCAACACAGTGTGGGGGTTAGAGCC